AAAGGAAAAAACACGTATACCTTTAGGACCAAGTGGAATCTTTCCCTCGGTTACTAAACAAAACAACCGCTTCCCAGAATCCTCAAAACTCCTCGTGGCTGGATTATTACTACGGATTACACCATCCGGTACACACAGAATCGCCCTGGGACTCAAACCCCGAAAAAAACCCACATAATTATCTTACATTAAAGGTCTTTCTGCCATCAGCTAACTAATCATTTTTCGTATCAGGTGAAATTTATAAGATTTTTTTCTCACCCAACTGCAAATTCAAAAATTGCCACAAAAACTAAAATAAAACCACCAAGAATCTTCTATATGTACCACATACCTTAGTCTTTTTTTTTTTTTTTTTTTTTAAGAAAATCGCAGTGACTTACCTCCAGAAAGTTTTCGGTTTTTAATTTAAATTTTTTATTCAGGTGGAGATAATAATACAAAACAAACTGTGTGTGCTTACTGCCAAGAATAAACAAACATAAACAATTTCCATTTTCACTTCAGATTTTTCATAAGAAATTAAACATTGCAGATTCAGTTGAGATATGTTGTTTTCCTCTGCTTCTTTCCCCTTCATCCACACAGACAACTTCTATTACGAATTTTATGGTAACCATTAAAGTCCATTTTTATCATGTTTAAATACGTGCATAGATACATATATTTACTGTTGTTTTGGGGTATTTTAATTTACATAAACGTTTAGCATTAGTCTTCTCCAAGTCACTTTTCTCATTCAACATTATTTTTTGATATGTTTTAACTGTTATATAGATTTCCATAAATTTTTTCATTTCCCTAGTGACGGACATTGGATGGTTTCAACATTTTACTGTTACATAAAATATATCCTGTATGCGTATCCTTGTGCATATATGCAAGAATGTCCTTTAAGGTACTTGCTGGCTTATGAAGTAGGAGTACTGCTACTTGCCAAATAATATCAGTTTACACTCTCATTAGCAGTGATGAATTCTCACCAATGATAGATGTAATTAGGCTTTTATTTTTGCCTGTGAAGGGAGTGACTATAATTTACATTTCCCTGACAATTAAAGAGGTGGTACATCTTCTCATATTCATTAAACTTTATTTCTTCTGTGAATTGCCCATTCATAACTTTCATAAAATTTCCTACTGGATTTTCTTTCTCTCAATGATGTGTACATTTAACCCGTATGTATGTAGCAAATACTTTCTCTGAGGTTGACATTTGTCTTTGTTTATGGGATTTTTGTTCTCTAGGTTTTAATTTCAATGTAGTCAGATTTATCAATCTTTTGTTAATGATCTCTGCTATTTGTATATTGCCTAAGAAATCCATCCCTCTCCTGAGGGAATTTTTCTTTCCATATTTTTATAGTTTCATTTTACACATCCTTTTTAAAAAAAAATTCAATTACTGACATATAGTACCACTATTGACTTTTATACAGCAATGTTGTATTTAAAAACCTTACTAACCTTACTGAATTATGTGCAGTCAAATGCTCAACCCGGAGCTATAAACTCCTTACTGTAAATCCTCTAGGATTTTCTGTGTAGAATGACTTCTTGTATGTAAACATTAACATCTTATTTTTATTTTAACATTTTAAAATCTATTTTTTATTTATCATCATTTTAGATGAAGTGAAAGTCACTCAGTCGTGTCCAATTCTTTGCGACCCCATGGACTATACAGTTCATGGATTCTCCAGGCCAGCATACTGGAGTGGGTAGCCTTTCCCTTCTCCAGGGGATCTTCCCAACCCAGGGATCAAACCCAGGTCTCATGCATTGCAGGCAGATTCTTTACATCTGAGCCACAGGGGAAGCATACCATTTTAAAATTAACCTTTAATATGGAAATTTTCAAGCAAACAAAAGAATCTGGGGAATTCTTAAGTCTTCATTTGGGGGAACTCCTGGCAGGACAGTGGTTAGGACTCTGCATTTTCACCACGAAGCACTTTTCACTGTTTGGGTTCAGACCCTGGTTGGGTAGCTAAGATTCCACTGTGCAGGGCCAAAAGAAAACAAAAACTTCATTTGTTCCTTTAAATTTTTTCACTTGGTGAGTCTCCTGATTGTAATATCTAGAGGTTTGATAGGTTTGGGGGTTTTGTTTTTCATTTGTTTCTTCAAAATCTTTTCTTAGGAGACTTTTAAGAAACATCAATGTTCATTAAGAAAAATGCTGTTTGTAGATCTTTTTAAGTCATACCTGTTGAATGTTATCAAATAACTTAATTCATTTGCTTTCAACCTAAACCCTTGGCAGAGAAATAAAATTTCAAATTTTATGTCTAGATCCATACCTAGGACTCTACTCTGGCATCTGGTAGTATCTCTTCCCACAGGTTAAGAATCCATGATGCCAAACTGATGTGCCCAGCTGGGACATATATCCCCCTCCAGATACACTTTTGACAACACAAATAGCTCCACGCCTTGCTCAGGCCTCTGACCTCCTAAAGAACTATGACAATAGTGTATGCCAGGAGTGTAGACAGCTTAGAAATGTGAGGTTAGGAGTCCAAATAATACATATGCACAGGCTCCCCATGGACAAATCCAGGGGTAGGGAAAGAGGGGCAATCTGTGGGTAGAAGCTAACTCTCACTGCATTGCCATATTTTGTCACAAAACTCCAGTCAGAGAATTCTAAATTCAAATGTCTTCCAGGTCATTATGAAGATGTATTTGTCAAGGTAAGAGATTAAAACATTTTAATAGCTTAGGAGCTTTAAGTTCTAAATATTAAGACAAATAGAATGTAAACTTCAATTTTGTATTGTCTGAATCCTGCTAGTGTTGGTAGAATGCCTGACTAGTGAATGTGCAGCTTAGTTAAAAACTGCATTTCATCAGTACTATATTTTACAATCTGATTGACATTTTCAGTCTATCTTCAAAACAAATATCACCCTAAACAGTGAACTCAAACAATAGAGGTTAAAAGCTCAGATTTTGGAGTAAGTCAAATTTTACTTCTAATCTAGCTATGTAACTTTGAGGAAGTGACAATCTTTCTGAGCCTCAATTTTGACTGTAAAATAGGAATAGGGTCTCTTTCAAAGCTGTTTTGAGGATTAAATATACATTTAGTGTTTAGGATAGTGACTGGCGCAAAAGTACTCAATTAATTGCAGCTAGTTTAAGAGAAACTGTTGACTGCTAGTAGGTAGGCCCTATATAAAGTTCGTCAGCACTATATCACAAAAATCCTCGGAAAAACTCAGATGTGGATCCTATCATTATCTCCATTTTAGGCAAAACCAATTAAAGCCAATGCAAATGACCTTTCAAACAACCCTGTCAGGAGAGCAGAGAATATATTAATCTCATTTCATGAAGATGAAAAATGACTCCATTTTCAAAAGACCTGCTCACTTCCAACAAGTTGGTGATCAGTGGAGCCAGATTAGAGCCACTCTAATAATTCTACTTCAGTACAGTTTTCACTGCCTCTAAAATAAGGTTAATACTGCTGTTTTCAACAAATGTATAAATCCAAATGTTTTACATTGGTATTTCTAAATATTGAAAAGATATCTTTTTTGAGAACAAAGGCATAATGGATTTTCTATCCATCCCTACCCCCTGCCAAAAAAGAAAACAAAACACTTAAAGACTGTAAATCTAAAAATCTGCTTAGAGAATGTTTCACAAAATGTCAAAATTTACATAAAGAATAGTCATGTATCCCAAAATAATTCCTCACGGGCAAATACTAATTATCACTCAAAAAAGATACTATTTCGTCAATTCCCCTGGCAACAGTGTAAATTACAAAGCAGAGGTTTTATCTAGTTTATCCAATGTATCACCAAATTGCACACAACAGGTGCTTAGTAACTATTTACTTGACAATTATAAATTAAAGTAAAATCTATGTAATTTTCTATGTCAGATGCCAGTGTCATGGATAGGTAACTTGAACAGTATGAAACTGCTGCTACTCAACTCCTTTTTACCTACAGAGGCAAAGGTCCAAATTAATTGTTTTTAATAAGCTTTCTGGAAAACATTACAAAGTAAAGAGGTAAACAGCTATTATGAAAGCTAAGACAGAAATAGAGAAATTTTTTTCTCCTAAGAAAAATGTATTAAAGTTGCCAAAGGCTCCAGGTCCTATTCTGAGATGCTCTCAAGAGTCAACTATAATAGTCCCACCCTTTTAAAGAGGATGGTGATTCACATTTCTTTATATTTAAAGTAACTTCCATGTTGGTGTTTATGTACATATAGATACACTCACATGTGAAGATATGCAATATGTACTAAGAACATGCACTATTTTACTAGCTAATTCTGATCTCATATAAATGTTCAAACATCTGATCAGGTGCAGTTCTAACTATTATCAATGAGTAAAATAAACTCCAGTCTCCAGAGATTACATTAAAAAGCTAATCTGGACATATTTTTCCCAATACTCTAACACACCAGGCTAAAAATGTGATTGATATGCAGTTACTCCACATTTAATTTTCTTCATCATTAGAAACTTACCTAACATTATTTCTTTAAGCAGATTACTTCCAAAAGTATCTTAAACATGTTTTTCTAAAAACTCAGATAACTGGGATTCCAGAACAAAAACAGAAAAAAGACATTTTAGTCAGCATTTTACTGATGTCCTTTCCTTCTACATTTCCAAGAAAAATCCAGACTTATGTAGCTTTACTAATGTCCCTTAAAAGAAAATGTCAAAACACATCCAAGCACATTTGCTTTACATTTCTAGAAATAAAAGGATGTTGCTTAAGTATGACAGTTTTAAACTTTTGGACATTATTCTGTCCATCTAGACCTGAAGAATTCATAACTAACATTCCCAAACTCACAACTTTAAGGAAGTGACCTATGTGTAATTATGGCTGATTTGCATTTTTCTACAGTAGAAACCAACACAAGATTGTAATGCAATTTTCCTCCAATTAAAAAATAATTTTTTTTAAAAGATGGGAAAAAAAATCACAAATTTTAATATATATGAAATAAAGAAAGTATCCAGGTTATAGAATATTTTAATATCAAAGTATAATTTACATGATTAAAAAGTTCTGATTTCTATACAAAGCATTCTACTTATACAGTATAAGAAGCTGACAATGTATAATTTCTGAGTAACATCAAGTGATTTTATCTTCTCATATTGCAAATGATATGTTAATGGCCTAAAAACTATACAATCTACCACAGATGACAATAAGGAAGAACAGCCCATATCAGCAAGTTATCAAATGTAACAAGTTCATATTTTTCTTGTTTGTGATCCCAAAACTGGCAGCATTTTCATTTCATCCACTCTGTTTTTATGTATTTGAAAAGCAGGTGTTATCCATCTACCACATGAGCACTGTTCACCATACCAGTTGAAAGAACCCAACTTGGCATTGCATTTGGGGCAGAGAAGCTAAAAGAAAACACATTTGTTACTTTTTCATTCACTTTTATATAAAACAAATTATCATCTTTGGTAACACAGGATATAAAACTGTAAGACATGGCTCATACCTTCAAGGAGTTGATGATCTAATCAGTGAGATGAAATGTAATGACTATTTACTATAATAGATAGTAGACTACAGTAATTGTTAAGCATGTTGTACTCTGGGAGTATAGAAGAAGAATAGCTTAATTCCAGAATGAAAGAAGAAAGGTGAAGGCTGCGACATGGAACAGGTTTCATGACTGTGGCATTTATGTTGACTTTTTTTTTTTACCTAAAGACTTAAATTTTTATTTCTAATTAGCTAGTACTAAGACTAGAGCATTTTAAGCAAACAGTACAATAACATGAGCATACCTGATCCATACTTTAAATACACTGTCATCATAAACAAGATGAGACAGAAAAATCTTTCATTATCCACACATTATGTGTTTACCTTTAAACCAACTATAAAGAAAGTTTGTATATAAAACTCAGAACTAAAATTGATTACATAAATATCTATAAGTTTTTAGTTTGACAAAATATACCACATTCCTCAAAAAAAAATTAAAACACAGTTACTATATGATCCAGTAATTCCAATTCTGGGTATATACTCAAAAGAAATAAAAGCAGGGACCCAAACAGATATTTGTACACCCATGTTCAAAGCAGCATTATTCCCAATATCCAAATGGAGGAAGCAGCCCAGACATCCGTGGACAGATGAGGAGATGAACAAAATGTGGAATACACATAAAAGGGAACACTACTCAGCATTAGAAAGGAAGGAAACTCTGACACGATGCTACAACATGGATGAACCTTGGGGATATTATGCCAAGTGCAATAAGCCAGCCACAAATTTATGCGGCACCTGGAGGAGTCACATTCATAAAAGCAGAGAGCAGAACAGCAGTTGCAGGGACTGGGACGCGGGGTGGCGGATTAGTGTTTAACGGGTACGGCACGTCAGCTGGGGAAGGTGGTGGTGATGGTCGCACAATGTGAACGCTCTCAATACTACTGAGTTACACACGAAGAACAGAAATGGTCAATTTATGTTATGACTATTTTACCATAATTTAAAAAACCACGTTTATGATATATGTATGTCAGGTCACTTATGCTATACACCTTCAACTTATACAATGCTGTATATCAATTATATCTCAATACACTGGAAAAAAAAAAAAAAAAACTGTGTATCTCAAAGCTGAGATAAGCAACAGACTGGAGAAAACACTTGCATTACGTGAAACATTAGACTATATAAACAGCTCCTCAATTCCTTAGAAAAAGACAAAACCCATAGAAATGGGCCAAGGATATGAAGGAAATTTCCTGCAAAACAAAGTATAAATGGCTGATAAGTACATAAAGATGTTGATCTCAGCAGTAGTCAGAGATTCAAATTAAGACACCTTAGAATTAACATTTTTCATCTCACGAACAGACACAACCTTACTGATTTTATAATATCTATATGCCAAACGTATGGGGAAATGAGGACATGCATTCGACATTAGTGAAAGGCAAATTTGTGTGGGCATTGTTAAGGCCAGCCCAGAATATTAGTAATATTTTAAAATGTACAATCTTCAAGCCAGGAATTCCACTTTTAGGTATATATTCTACAAGAAAATAAATGTACAAAGAAGTATGCACAAATGTGATCTAGAATATTTCACAAAAAAATAAAATACAACACCTTTATCTTGGGTGCTTTTCAGATTAAATAAAAGCAGCAAGGGAATTCCCTGGGCATCCAATGGTTAAGACTCCATGCTTCCACTGCTGAGGGCCAGGGTTCAATCCATGGTCAGCAAACCAGGATCCCACAAGCCACAAGGTGCAGCCAAGATAAATAAAAGCAGCAGGGCCAAAACGTAAGCCACAAAAGAAAAAAGAGATAAAGTGGACTTCAACAAATAGTATCAAGAGTAGGAAGTGACTGCTGTACAAGGTTTATTTGGCAGTGATAAAAATGGTGACAGATTCTAAAACCCGTGAACATACTAAAAAACCACTGAACTGTACACTTTCCATGAGTGAATCATATGGTAAGTGAGTTATATCTCAATAAAGTAGCGGCATCTGAAAACATGGGTTTGAATATAGGGTACCCCCTCTAGGCAAGACATTAACTAATGTAGATTGTTTCCTTGTATATAAAATGTGAATATATTATCTGCTCTATTTTATAAAATTATTGTATTCTTCAAATGAAATACAGTGAGAGTTTCATAAAAACTCACTATACAAACGTAGATAATCTTTAAACATCATTACATCTTAGATTAAGAGTATCTTTACATTAACATCAAGTAAACCTAAAAGAGAGTTGGAGCTCTCACAGGATGCTCATATGAGTTGCATTCTTTAGAATTAGTAAGAAATGAAAAAATCTCATAACAAACATATGACACTGAAAGAATCAAGAAAACAGAGATACATAGAGCCAAAAGAGAAAAAAGAAAGATTAAGAAGAAATTTTAGATCTAACTTTAAAATCTATGATTTGCCCTACTTCTTACAAAGCTCAAATTTTGCTAAATATACTCTTGTCTTAATTTGAAAAAATATAAATAGCCTTAAAAGGAATTAACTGAGACTAAAAGCTCTCAACCAAAAAGTGGATCACTATTTTAGATCATCTGGTTTTTATTTAACTAATTTATCTTTGATAGAATCTTGCCTATACAACAAAGATATAATCTTAGAAAGAAAGCAATTAAGATGGAGTAAAACACTAGTTGAAGTATGGTTTAAAATTAAAGAAAGAACCAAATACAGATGACATAATAAAACTAGAGAAAGTAAAATGTGTTCTCACCTGTCCATCCATCACTCCCAACAAAGTGGATTCCATCCACTGTACAGGTTCAATGAAATAAGATGTACATTGAGCCTGACTCCCTGTGGAAAGCATGGGGAATGGTGTCATCCTCTTGTGGGCAAAGGCTAGAGGACCACTTCCTTCATTATGGTCCAAAATGCTAGAACTTCTAAATAAAGATCGCCTGCAACCCCCAAACAAACAAAAACATTAGTGATTTCCAAAAGGATGAAAAAATAGATTAAATGTGCAGTATTTCTTAGAGGGCAAATTAATATAACATTGATTATGCTATTTTAATTTTTGATAACCTCTACAAGTAACCAGATAACTTTTAAGGATTCATATTCTTCTTGAAACCAGATCTGAATATGAAATTTCTGTATTATTCAATTAAACAAATTCTTCCTACAAGATTTTAAGAAACTGAAACTCTCAGTACTATTCTACTGAGACAAAGTAAAATCTCCAGCGGATACAAAATATTTTACCTGCACTTTCTACATTTGTAGAGACCTCCATCTTTCAATCCTTGTGAAATGGCAGATGGGTCAACAGCAAAGAGTTCTTGAGGTAAGTTCTGCAATTCTACATAACATAAAATGTATCCATTTGTCAAAATCAACTCTGCATTTTCAGACAAAATTCAAAAGGCAAGTTGCTCAGTGGTAAAGAATCCACATGCCAATACAGAAGATGTAGGTTCAATCTGTAGGTTGGGAAAATCCCCGGGAGAAGGAAATGGCAACCCACTCCAGTATTCTTGCCTGGGAAACCCCATGGACAGAGGAGCCAGTCCATGGGGTCACAAGAGACTCAGACACAACTTAGCAACTAAACAACAAAATGCTAATCTCAGAAATTTTTAAAAAATCTCCACTGTTGAAAAATGAGGATGAAGTAGGAGAGCCCAGTGATGCAGCCCTTGGCTTCCAGGCACAAACCGCCTGACTTCAAATTCGAGCCAGCCATTTACAAACCATGTGACCCTGAACAAGCTATTTCCTGCTAAACCATGGTTTCAAAATGAAATAAAAGTACCGGTTTCCAAAGTGAAATAATGCACCTAAAGCATCTGGTGTCAGAGCAAGCTACATCTAAAAGGACTGAATGTGCTGTGCTCAGCTGCTCAGTCGTGTCCGACTCTTTGACTTCCAAGGAGTAAGCGTCTTTTAATTTCATGGCTGCAATCACCATCTGCAGTGATTTTGGAGCCCCCTAAAATAAAGCCAACCTCCTTAGTCCATGGGATTTCCGAAAGCAAGAACACTGGAGTAGGTTGTCATGACCTCCTCCAGGGGATCTTCCCAACCCAAGGATGGAACCCAGGTCTCCCGAATTGTGGGAGGATCCTTTACCCAGGCTGAGCCACAAAGGACGCCCAAAAAGGACTGAATACATACTGCCAATTATTACTCACCTGGATACTTCTCTGTAACCTTTTGTAAACGATATTGTTTATAAAGTGCACTGGAGGTATCTACTTCACAGCCCATTGCCTGGTATAATTTCAGTTGCCACTCAAACCCCTCATTCATCCTGCAAGGGCAAACAGGTACAGAATTAAATTTTCTTTAAATAAATAAAACTGCCTCACAAAAGCAGAATTACTACTATAACAAGTAACTCACTTGGCCTCTGGTTTGACAGTCTTAAGGTTTTCATAGGCTTTTTCAAAGGTAAGCTGGTCAGTCTTCATCATAAAAGCAGTTATTACAGTTACACTTCGACTGACCCCTGCATGACTGGAAAAAAAAAAAAAAACCCTTTAAAATATCAAATAGCAACAATTACAAAAACAAACCCACCCCCATAAATGGTAAAGTTTGGGTCCACTTCTTGTCTGCCTCTTCTACTCAAGTAAATCCTTTGCCTATGAAATACTACTGCTTACAAAAGAAGTTTTCCTTCATTTCCTTATTCATTTTAATTCTGAACCATGTGAATGTATTACCTATTGAACAATAAGTACACTAAATTTGTAACATCCTATAATGGCTTCAGAACAAATCTAAACTCTTTTCCCCTTGGCTTTCAAGGCCCTGGAGATCTGGTCCGAAACCTCTATTTTATCACTACCTTATGTTCTTTATATAATATTTATAACAAAGGCTGGCTGTAAAATTGCTGACTCAGTAAGCGTAAACTGTTGTAATTACACTCCTGCCACTGCTAAGTCCTAACCAATTTTTCTCTCCCCAAATCTCCCCTACATCAGCCACGCCCGCCTCAAACAAACACAATGAAAATAACCTGCTCTCCCTCTTAAGTTTGAGTAACCTTAACCTCTGTTAATCTCTCTTACTACACACCTCGCATCCAAGTCTGCATTTCCTCAGCATGTCTCTGGCTACTCGAGAAGAGATTTAAACTCTTTAGGTGCAGAGACTTAGTCCTTTATCTGAAGATTCCTCCTACCCTCGAAAACTCAGCGGCTGCAGAATGAACCAACACAAACAAAATGAACGAAAAGCCTGCGCGTCATCAGGGGACCGTCTCCTGCCCACTCCTCTCTCTGACACAAGCCTGCGCAAGAGGGAGCTGGAGGTTCCGGGGGTCCGGCAGCTCTCTGGTCTTCTCCTGGGCCCTGGGAGAAAAAGGGCGAGGTGGGGCAGGGTCGAAGGGTGGCGGGGTCGCTCCCCCCACCGACCCGACCACTCACCAGTGCACCAGCACCGCGCGGCCCTCGGCGCGAGCCTGGACAATGAAGGCCACACAGCGGTCCAGATGACTGAGCAGGTCGGTCTCGGGTTTGTCCAGCGCTCGCACGAAGAGACTCCGTAGACCCTCGACCCCAGCCCCCGTTTGGAAGTCAGGCTCCTCCGAGTCCACCGTCAGCACTGCCGTGACGCCCGCCTCCCTCAGGTGGTCTGGCTCCGCGACGGCCGCGGCTCCACCCAAGAACAGCCCCGGACGCACCTCCAGCATATGCCTGGCAGACCGGGCTCGGCTCTGGCTGCGGATCTGGTGCTCGCAGTCATGGCTACCATCCTGCGCCTCCAACATGGCGGCGCCCGGAGGCCGGGCTGCGGCGGCCCTACCATCGAGTAGGCAATCGGCTAGAACGTCCTTACTTTAGACCGGCCGGGCTGAGTTGCGTCGCTGCTGCCTTGGAGGATTTCGTCGACCGCGGGAATGTGGATTTACTGGGGAAGGTGACGTAACTTCGGCCTGGGCGGAGCTAAAAACCCCATTCGCAGCGGCTTCTGAACCCTAACGCAAATACCTACAGGGATGCTTAGGCTCTTAGTGTTGAGATTCTTCTGGATTTCTGCAGGAGAAGAAAATGGATTCAGATGGTCCCACCAACTGAATCAGTACCATAATCTTATGCTTTTGAAATACAACACTTTTTCAGTACGTATGAAACCATTTGTTTGTAGTTCTTCTCTTGTTACTTTTTACCTTTTTTTTCTTCTTGCCCCCCCTTTTTTATTGGTATGTGACTTCTTGCTGGTGTATATTATTCTGTATACTTGAAAATATTGACCCCATGGTTCTGTATCAGTGCACTCCAAAGATAACCAAGAAAAAAAAAAAACTTGAAAATATTGACCCCATGGTTCTGTATCAGTGCACTCCAAAGATAACCAAGAAAAAAAAAAAGATAACCAAGAATCTACGTGTAGTTAAATTTGAGTTTATTATTCAATCATTAACTGTAGAATTTTGGGAAATGCGGGTCTTAAGAGAATGTTGCTGCTGCTGCTAAATCGCTGCAGTCATGTCCGACTCTGTGCGACCCCATAGACGGCAGCCCACCAGGCTCCCGCGTCCCTGGGATTGTTCAGGCAAGAACACTGGAGTGGGTTGCCATTTCCTTCTCCAATGCATGAAAGTGAAAAGTGAAAGTGAAGTCGCTCAGTTGTGTCCGACTCTTCGCGACCCCAGGGACTGCAGCCTACCAGGCTCCTCCGTCCATGGGACTTTCCAGGCAAGAGTACTGGAGTGGGTTGCCATTGCCTTCTCCGAAGAGAATGTTAGGAAGATCTTATTACAGGATTTTGGGCTTCCCAGGGGGCGCTAGTGGTAAAGAACCCCCCTGCTAAGGCAGGAGACTTAAGAGACCTGGGTTCAATCTCTTGGATCCAGAAGATCCCCTGGAGGAGGGCATGGCAACCCACTCCAGTATTCTTGCCTGGAGAATTCCATGGACAGAGGAACCTGGCGGGTTACAGTCCATAGGGTCGCAAAGAGTTAGACACAACTGAAGCGACTTAGCATGCATTACAGGATCTGAGCTTATATTAGATGAGTTAGGGCTAAGGGGCTATGGAAGCAGGACTTTGCTCTGGACTGGATGTTGTCAGCAAGTGGGGGTGATTCTGGGATTCAGTATCTTACTAAATCTTACCCAAGGGAAAGAAGGCTAGAGAGATGCTAAACCTGTAATTGGTCAAGAAATAGCAGTCATGGTACTGGCATAAAGACGGAAACGTGGGCCAACGGAACAGAATGAAGAGCCCAGAAATAAACCCTCACATATATGTTCAAGTGATCTTTGGCAAGGGTACCATGACCAAACAATAGTCTTGTCAACAACTTTTTGGACATGACACCAGAAGCAATAAGTGGGACTATGTCAAACTAAAAGGTTTCTGCATAGCAAAAGAAACAATCAACAAAATGAAAAGGCAACCTACAGAATGGAAAAAAATATTTTCAAACCATATATCTGATAAGGAGTTAATATCCAAAATATATAAAGAACTCATACAACTCAGCTGTAAATAAAAATATAAAATGGACAGAGAAACTGAGAAGAGATTTTTTTCTAAAGAAGACATACAAATGGCCCACAGGTACATAAAAAGATCCTTAATATCACTACCCATCAGGGAAATACAAATCAAAACCATGATATCACCTCACACTTATTAGTATGGCAATTAAAAAAATAAAAACAGTAGGTAGCATGTTGGTGAGGATGGTGGAGAAAAGAGAACCCTTGCGTGTTGTTGGTGTGACTATAAATGAATATATCTACTACAGAAACTGTATGGAAATTCTTCAAAAAGTTAAAAAACAGAGCTACCATATAATGCAGCAATCCCACTTCTGGATATATGTCCCAAGGATATGAAATCAGAATCTTACAGAGATATTTGCACTCTCATGTTAGTCACAACAGTGACCTCAGTGTCCATCTAAGCATGGATGATAAAGATGTGACTTATATATTATGAAATATTATTTAGCCAAATGAAAGTAGGAAATCCTGCCATTTGTGATAACATGAATAGAACTTTGAGAACTCACACTTATTAGTATGGCAATTAAAAAAATAAAAACAGTAGGTAGTATGTTGGTGAGGATGGTGGAGAAAAGAGAACCCTTGCGTGTTGTTGGTGTGACTATAAATGAATATATCTACTACAGAAACTGTATGGAAGTTCTTCAAAAACTTAAAAAACAGAGCTACCATATAATGCAGCAATCCCACTTCTGGATATATGTTCCAAGGATATGAAATCAGAATCTTACAGAGATAATTGCACTCTCATGTTAGTCACAACAGCCAATACATGAAGTGACCTCAGTGTCCATCTAAGCATGGGTGATAAAGATGTGACTTATATATTATGAAATATTATTTAGCCAAATGAAAGTAGGAAATCCTGCCATTTGTGATAACATGAATAGAACTTTGAGAGCATTATGCTAAGTGAAATGAGTCAGAGAGAGAAAGACAAATATTGCATCTTATCACTTATATGTGGTAACTGAAAAAGCTAAGTCATATAAACAGAATAGAATAATGGTTGCCTAGGGCTGCAGGGAGGGAGAATTGAAGAGTTGTTCAATTGATATACAATTTCTGTTTTTCAAGATGAAATGGTTAAAAGAGTAAATTTTATGTGTTTTTTTTTATCATAATTGCTTTTAAATAGGGGTTAGTCATTTTAGCTAAAATAGAGGTGTGTTTGGTATTTTGTAATTGGACAATGTTCATGCATGTTCTCTCTTATTCAGACATAATTATGTTGGTCTTTGTCTTACTTCGTCATGATCTCAAAGTTGCCTTGTGTGGTGTTGATTTTCTGTGAAGTTGTTTTTGTTCAGCAGGAGAGGAAAAAACACCTAACTGTGAGTGCCTGGCCAGCTGTAGCAACACTAAGGAAGATCTCCCTCACAGCACCAAGCCAGCTCCTGGATGCCAGGGTCTGCTTTTCCCTCTCTCTTATATGACTTTATGATTTTCAAAGAGATTGAGACTTGGGGCAGGGACACTTGACCCCTGTCTAAGTCAAATGGAGGAAGCAGCAACTACTTGTGCTAGGAAACACTTACGTGGGCAGCCCACAGGGAGAGAGGGAGAGTGGTATCTTCCCTTACTCCAGCCACAGGCTCTGAACCTCTGAAGGGTAAGCACTTCGCCTCTTCACCTTTGTGTCCCCTGCCCCACAGAATTTGGGCTAATGGTGCTGATTATTCCATCTTTTGAATGTTAGAGATGAAAGGGAAAGGAGTTCCAGAAAAGACACTGTATACTTCCCTGTCCGTGTCATGTCCTTCCCCATCCCAAAGGCTTTATCTCAAAGGCTCGCTTGGTGTTTTCGCTGCAGAGGCATGTTAGCAATCTTCTGAGCCCTTGGTTGGATCAACTCAGCCTTTCTCACTTTATGGTCCTGGAAACCTCTCCTGTGTGTCAGGCTCTGCAGTAGATGCTGAAGCTACAAAATGAGTTAAGAGTCTTTGCCCTCGAGGAACTTAGAGAAAAACTGGAGTAAAAGATAAATAAATAACCTAATAGTGTTTTGACAGGAGCAAGGGCAAATCACTAAGAAGAATGCTGTGGGTGGGCATATATGGAATATATAAAAGATACTGAAATATATGTATCAAACTATTAACAATGGTACTTCTGGGAGCTGACATGAGGAGACCTACATCATAGGGTTTATACACTTCTTCCTGTATAATTTCTTAATACACTTCTTTCTGTATAACAGTACATAAACCGTGAACTTCCAGATGTTCAAGCTGGATTTAGAAAAGGCAGAGGAACCAGAGATCAAATTGCCAACATCTGCTGGATCACTGAAAAAGCAAGAGAGTTCCAGAAAAACATCTACTTCTGCTTTATTGACTATGCCAAAGCCTTTGACTGTGTGGGTCACAACAAACTGGAAAATTCTTCAAGAGATGGGAATACAAGACCCCTTGACCTGCCTCCTNAAAGTCGGACACGACTGAACGACTGAACTGAACTGAACTGAACTGAATTCATTCTGTCAGCTTTATTAGTTTTCTGTTGGAAATTAGCTTTTCTTCCTAAACTCCTTAAAATGAATGTAAGTTCCTTCAAGGATGGGAGTGGGAGACATATCTGAATTGTTATTGAATACTTAAATAGCCTGGCTCAGTGTTTGTCTGTATCTGGGTGAATAATACCTCAATTCCTAAAGCTGAGTATTTACCAGCTTGTGTATTTGTATGCTTAGCCACTAGGTGGCACCATGTGCCCTTTGCAAAATATATTTTCTTCAGTTCAGTCGCTCAGTCGTGTCCGACTCTTTGCGACCCCATGAATCACAGCACGCCAGGCCTCCCTGTCCATCACCAACTCCCGGAGCTTACTCAAACTCATGTCCATCGAGTCGGTGATGCCATCCAGCCATCTCATCCTCTGTCATCCCCTTTTCCTCCTGCCCCCAATCCCTCCCAGCATCAGGGTCTTTTCCAATGAGTCAACTCTTCGCATGAGGTGGCCAAAGTATTGGAGTTTCAGCTTCAGCATCAGTCCTTCCAATGAACACCCAGGACTGATCTCCTTTAGGATGGACTGGTTGGATCTCCTTGCAGTCCAAGGGACTCTCAAGAGTCTTCTCCAACACCACAGTTCAAAAGCATCAATTTTTCGGCACTCAGCTTTCTTCACAGTCCTACTCTCATGTCCATACATGACCACTGGAAAAACCATAGCCTTGACTTAGCCTCCCTTAAAAGGTTGAAATGCATATATGGCAACCTGCAACAAAAGTGGATATTTGGCCCAGGGAAAGAAATTTGTCTTTAGAGAGGGAGCTGCGTTGCTTCTTGTCA